GTAGACTGGCAGGTGTATTCAGCTGAGTGTAGCCATATAGCCTGAATTCCCGTATGAACAAATCATCACATCGAGATTTGGCAGACATTATTCAATCAGTGTGGGATGTGAAGGTGTGCATCAGCCCCAGTTGATTGCATCATGTTTATAATATGCTGGGCTTGGCCACACAAATGTTTGCCTTATAAATGAATATAGCATCCAGACATACCACTATCAGCAATTCTGTTTTTAGGCCTAATCAGTTTAAAAACCCACATTATGCAGTGTGCGTGCCCCTTCACCAACATTGGCTGACTGAAGTTTTCGGAGTGTGTTCACATCAGCCTCTGCCGGTTTGAGCGGAAGAAATCTGATTTGCGTAACAAGGCTCTTGTTTTGGATTGTACAGGAGAACACAAAAGAGACAATAAGGCTTTCCACGTGTTAATTATTTAAGTAAAACAATTAACGTGGACTGTCCTGGGACAGTCTTTTATTCACTCATCCAGGACTATCTGCTCCACTCGGCAGAGACAAAGTAGGCCTTGGATAGAATCAACGGGTTTCTCAGTGCAGGTTTGGGCTATAGGGCTCGGAATATGTAAATAACATAGGCATAGGCTATATAGCTAGCATATAGTACAAATGAAAAACAAACATTAACCTATGTAGGCTATTTTAATAGGGTACTTAAAGGGCAATTCTGCCACTTTTCAACCGCATGTTCTATATCCAGCACCAAACCAGTGTCTACATATGTGAAAACAGCGCATTTCTATGATTTGTGGTTAAAACGTTTTTTGTGTGGTTTTTTTTCAACAGTGATTTTCAAAACCTGCAATGAGTTTCTAGCCAGAGGGAGGGTATTTTCTTGCTCCCCATATAGCCATGTATCTCATAGCTTTTGAAAATCACTGTTTAACTTTTGATGATGGCATGGGGCAGAACTTTTGAACTTTATATGCGTTTCCAAAAAACCTTGAAAATCACTGTTTAACTTTGATGATGTCATGGGTAGAACTTTTGAACTTTATATGTTTTTCTACAAAACATAGAAATGTGCCTTTTTCACATTTGTAGACACTGGTATTCTGCTGGAGATAACGAAAATGAGGTTGAAAAGTGGTGGAATTTCTCTTTAAAGAGCAGCCAGGTCACCCCTGATACAAGCATGCACTATGACTTTAGAACAGTGACTCGGAGAGCCAGAGTATAGTGATCTAAAAATGATTGTATTTTTTTATATTTTTAAGCATTTTGTAGGCTACATCCTAAACTGCGTGACTGCCGAACCGATAGCTTGATAAAGCTATTATTCATTTATCTCCAATTCATATCTTATACTTGCTGTTCCGCAGCCAACTCCAACAGTTAAACTCGATACACAGCTAACGTTGATTATACATGGTTATTTATATATAATTTATAAGTTGGAGTACGGTTCAATTGTAAATAAATCATTGATGCAGCGATGTACTACATTCGTTGTTAGGCCAACATACCGGCACATGCCTTTGGATAGTAGGGCAAAATATTTGTCAATATTGAGAAAGCACCTTCATTATAGGCTATGGATGAAGAGTTTCTGTCCTGAATGCAATATTCAGAATTACAAGTCTGTATTAGAAGCCTGTCATATACCAGAACTTTGGAGTCCAGTAATAGTTTAAATAACCCTTAATAGCGCCAAGATATTTTTTGCTTAAAAGCGCCCACATTGTAAAGATACTGTCTAACACACAAGTGAATTATTCAAATTCCCCAAAATAAGCATATATTACAAACAATTCACACATGCATTTAGTCCAATTTGATGGACGTTTCTGTTTTTCATGTTTTTAAAGTTATTTTGATCAATGTCTTTCATAGCAAGTTCATGTTTTTTAAAATGTTTTATTCATTCAAAGTGTTGTGTTTCTGTGACACTCAGAAGCTGATAAATTGGCGATTGAGCTAATCTGACATGCCAGTAACCTAAAATGGCCTCAATATGGGCAACATTGGCGATAGTGTCGTTGGTGCCATGATACTTTTATCTCTAACTTTGGAATGCTATGGGCTATTAACTTAGTTCCAACTGCATCTAAAAAATGAGACTCTAAACTTGGTATATAGACATTGACTGGAAGCGAAATATTAATGTATATATTTTGAGATATAGTGGCTGCCAAGCCCCCCCAGGGGCCAAATCTGGGGTGGCTCCATATATAGGCCTATACCTTTTGCAACAAGCTATTTTTGTTGTATTGCTTAAGTGTAGCTGCTGTTAGTGATATTGTGCTGCCATTGTTTTTTTGTTTTGTTTTTAATCATTATTTCTGTTGTCACATTTCCTCATTCACCCCAGTCAATTTAGTCCTTAGTGCCAGGCTCTGTCGCAGCCGGCCGCGACCGGGAGACTCATGGGCGGCGCACAATTGGCCCAGCGTCGTCCAGGGTAGGGGAGGGAATGGCCGGCAGGGATGTAGCTCAGTTGATAGAGCATGGTGTTTGCAACGCCAGGGTTGTGGGTTCGATTCCCACGGGGGGCCAGTATAAAAAAATATGTATTCACTAACTGTAAGTCGCTCTGGATAAGAGCGTCTGCTAAATGACTAAAATGTAAAATGTAAAAAATGTGGCAACCCTCCTGATGTGTCACATCAAAAAGTTCCGTCTGCTAACAGAATGGTTGTATTGAATTGCTCCGAGGGGAGAGGACCCGGGCGCGTGTTGGACAACACAACCAGTTCCTTCTGCGCGAGGAGATCTCCTTCTTAACAAACATACAAAAATCAATAGTATCATAACAACTGGTATTTATTATTCATTAATAACGAGTTTCACAGGCATGAAACCACCTGCTGAACACGAGGGAGAGCCCTGGAACCCCTGACATTTTCTGGACTGATAGTCAGCGTCTGTCATGTCTCTCTTCCTTCGCAACTGACTGCAGAGGCTAGGCCCCACACGGACTGCAGCGTCTGGATGAACTAGCTGGCATTACTCAAGGATTATGCACATATGTGGAAAGGACGTGTCAAAAATAAATTAGAAGCAGATATTTATAATTGATTGATTCCTATATTAACAATACATTTACTCCAATGGTTGTAGTAGACTTTACACCCTGAACCTTCCTCTAAATGTTGTTTCGCTTCAAAGTGATAGTCAAGTCTTATTGGCCTAAATCTTACTGCATCAACGAATAACTTAACTCTTAAACATTTTATGGTGCCATCCTCAGTTTAACTTTAAATAATTCAAAGAAAATTGTATTTGGTCTGATGTCCTTACGTTTATTACCTAAACCCTTGAAGGCCACAGTTTATGACGAGAATTGATCTAATTCCAATATAGTTTGAGGTCGGAGGAATACATTGTTTTTCTTCTAAATGTTAGATTTGGTATTTCGCTATAGGTACTAGGGAAAATTGTAACGTGATAATAATGAATGGGCTAGCCCAGACTAATATATGCCCTCCCCATGATTACTTATTCTAACTAAATGTTATTTCTTATTCAATCAGATCAATACAAAAAATAGATTCTGAATTGAAAAGGAGCATAATAAAGTAAACATTGATCAACATCGAATTGAATCATTCAGATGATCATTTGATTTGATCATTGAAGTAGCCTTTATAAAGTCCATAGCCTAGTCAGAAATAGCTTAAAATGATTCCACAACTGATCCCTCAACCTCCCACCCCGAATGTGTTCTCCCATTTCAAAGAACCAGATGCTCTCCATTCTAACAGACGAACAGACATCAAATGGAGACTGTTGATATATTTACTTCAAAAAAACTGATAGGAGAAGATGAGGTAAAACGTGCATGGTTTATTTTAGTTTCTGTCGCTTACACAGACACATTTAAGCACACCTTCACAAATGAAATATACGTTGTATTTTAAATAAGTTAAGTTCAAATAAATAGGTAAATAATAATAAACCAAACTAAGTAAAAGGGTAAAAAATATAAATAGGTCAACAATTCCTCATGTTTAGAATATCTACAAAGTGCACTGAACTCTGGGAATACAATGTAACCAATATTTCCATCCATTGCTCAATATTATTATTATTAATAATAATAATAAAAATAACACAAATATTTTCGTTTTCATGTGAGGACATAAAATGGACGTTTTACAACGTAATTATTAGAAATAATTTGATTGTCAAAGCATCATTGCAGTGAAATTAGGTAAAGACATACACTATGTTTACATATCTGTGAGTCATCTAATTCAACCATAACTTCGTGGAAAAAACGAAAAAACGAAGAAACGATTAGTTTTTTGTGTTTTATACTCCTACAGTCCAGAATGACCATGAATGTGCCAACACTAGCGTAATGAGGTAGACAGATAGTTGACTATACTGTGTATGTCCGCGTGTTCGTGCGTTTGCCCGTGTGTATGCTCTCTTATTGCAATGCATTCAAATGGGTTTTTAGAACTATTAACTCACAGCTAACGCCCTACAAGTAAACCATGCAATGAATGATTACAATTATACCCCCGTGTTATGGACAGCCAACCATCTCTGAGACACATACAATGATGACAACATTACGCCCTAAGCATCAGTTATCTTCTGGAAACAACAATTCGATTTTTGAAAAAAGAACGAATTCGATGCGCTCTTCACACACAGGTGAAATGTAGCCTATTCACAAATATGTACATTGATAAATATAAAATAGTTATTCTGACTCAAGAGAATAATAACAATTATTATTCGATTTCCATTTTTGTACAATAATTGCCATGACTTAAGGGGTGGGTTTTCTCTTTTCCGCCTCCATGGAGTATAATGATGTCGATCTCCTATTTCACTGTTATTGTATTCATCGAAGTTCAGTTTTCAATTTAAAAAGGTATACGTTTCGCCCCGGGGGATATTGGTTATCAAGTCTTTATCCCAATTCAAAGGAAGGAAGCACATCTTGTCTGCTAGCCTCGATGGACCTTAGCCGTTGGCCTATTTGTTTCGGATTAGTCTATTCGAGGAAAGTTTTGCTCTGCATTTTCCTAGTGTGTCGCAGAAAACTTCATCCTTTTCTGCTTTTGCCTCTGATTGCAAAACCACACCCTGACCACGTTCTTTTTCAGGTCCAGTTTCTCGGCTATTGCTGCAATCTTCTCAGACGAGGGCCTCGGCTGCACGGCGAAATATGCCTCCAAAGAGCGCTTCTCTGGAGCAGCGATGGAGGTGCGTTTTCTCTTCTTGTCTCCTCCGTTGAAAATCTCTGGCTTGGTCATTTTCTCCCGCTGCGCCCTCTCCGCCTCCTCCAGCCACGCTTCCAGGATGGGTTTCAGTGCCACCATGTTGTTATGAGACAAGGTGAGGGACTCGAACCGGCAAATCGTGCTCTGACTGAGGCAACCGACCCCAGGGATTTTAAGGTTCGCCAGGGCCGAGCCCACGTCTGCCTGCGTCACCCCCAGCTTGATCCGCCTCTGCTTGAACCGCTCTGCGAAGGACTCCAGCTCCCGGGGATCTGGCTCTGAGTCCCCGCCGCCGCCCAGCGAGGTGTGCGAGCCCATGCTGTGGGGGTGCATGTTCATGGCCTGTTGGTGGTGGTGGTGGTGCTGCTGCATGTGGTTTATGGCGGACATGTGAGCGTGTGGATGCGAGGCAGTGGAGCAGACGTCGGAGCCGGGCATCCCTCCCAGGGAGACGGACATGCCAGGGGTCAGGTGGTCCAGCAGGTCGCCATCCAGGCCCTGAGAGCCCTGGTGATGGGGGTGGTGGTGGTGGTGCGAGGTGAGCACGGACGGGTGGTGGAGGTGGGCCGAGGATGAGGTGGGGGTGCAGGCCATGCTGGTCATCGTGGTCATGTTGTGGTAGGTCGCGTCTGGTTTATAAGGGTGGCTCTTTGAGATATCCACCGCCGCCAGCGCTTCCGCTCTCTGCAGTAAAGTCTCATCGAAGCCGGCGAAGATGTTGCTCTGCAGCTGTGAGATGCAGAGGAACAGGGGAGGCAGAGAGGGGAACGGTTAATGATGCTCCCCAAACAGGCACCATTCAAAGAGTTTAGGATACCTCTGGATAACGTTTTTAAAATGGAATTTATGGAAAATAGATTATCACAGTTTGGATTACGCATTCATTACGCACGAGGTTTGAAATGTTTAGCCGTTGTGAAAATATAAAAAATTACACTATCAATAAGGCATTTCTTAAAATAAATTGTCAATATATCCAAACGGTTGAGTTAATTTCATATCACTCAGAGACTATATCAGCCTATTATCGGAAAATCCTCCAAATATTCAACCATCACATTTGATTATTTGTTAAGAATGAATATTTCAAGACACAAATCATTTATCTGCACCTTGGAATGAGAAGAGTTTTACATGTGAGCAATACGAAATATCTAATCAGGGAAATCACATTATTTGACCTATAATGTATTAGCATTTAGCGTTCGGTTTCACCCAATTCTCCATGTCCCATGCATGCTCCCCTACATTTAAGGCTACTTTTCATTATTGCTAATTGGATCATTTGAATGTGACGGTAACTCACCGAGTGAGTGGGCATGCATGCCCTCCGGATGGCCTCTGAGGTGGATTGCAGAGGCGTGTATTTGGGCTCGTGCAGTATGGGGTGCATACTGAAAGGTTGTTTGCTGTTCATTGACATCATGATTGCAGAAGTTAGTGAGGGTTGTTGTCCGTCTTCCTCGTTTTGCTCCGTGTTGGTCCGTTGTCACTAGAATCGTCTCAGGATTAAACAAATTGATAGAACAGTCGGTTGGTTGGTTGTTTGAGATGATGGTAGTGATGGTAACGATGACAGGTTTAAACCTCCTGTCTTCTCCCCTGTAGGTCTCTCTCTATCCAGTCGGACTCTTCTGCTTTTGGCTGTAAATGGCTGTATGTAGTATGGATACTACCTAGCAGCCACCTATAATATAACGTCTTACTGGGCCCGCCCCAAAGATGGGTCATCACCCCCTCCTTTCCCTATTGTCTCCAAATGTTACTGGGAAATGTGTGTGTAGCCACACCTCTTGAGGACAAAACCACCACCCACTCCAACGCAATGCGTTTGGAGTCCGGATTTTGACAGGTGCAATGGTATTGGCTGGTTGTCAGACGGACAACACGCCCACCACGCGTTGCGCAGGTTGCTGTTTTTTCTGATGGATAGGTTGGCTTTTATTCTATGTCCCAATTTCTGTAATAACCTCATAATAAGCTTTTTAAATTTCAAATGAGCATTCAAAGCGCTAATGAAAAAAGTAATTTTAGTCTCTGCATTTTGGTAAAAATGGCATAAGGTGAAGAAAAGTAATTTGTAATATCCAAAGTGATATCTGAAATTCAATATCAATATCATACCAGTGAAATAACTCCAGTGAACAGTGGATTCAGACAGGCTCCTGTGTTATATTAATAATAGATGGACGGCCACACACAAGAATCCTCCCTGACACCATTCCCTTTCTTTCCTAGCAATTAATACATAAATTAATCATTGCTCATTTACTTTGTGGCTCGAACCACAGTATGGATCCCCAATTAAAGAATAAACAGGTCAGAATGGATATGAAGCACAGGGAGGACGATGAAATATTTACTGTTGAACCTCAGGTCAATGGAGCAAGTGCTGTCAATCACAGCCTATGTCCAGAAGGCTGATTTGATGGAGATGGACCACCACTCTAGGCATGGTTCCCCTGCCCTGCCCCTGTCTTTCCCCTCCCCTGGTGGGGTAGGGCTCTCCTGGGGACTCCCTTTACAATACAAGGGCTAGGGGCTTTCCTCCTGACATTTGCTCCTATACACATCATGTCAATAATGAGACAACCTCAGGAAAACCAATTAGAGATAACTTTTATAGAGAGATTTTATATACATTTCTTGTTATGCTTACAGTCTGCTGTTTACCTGGTGTTTGTCATAGAAATTAGATGCTGAAACTGTAGTTATATACAGTAGCAATTACCTAGTAATTTATTTGGTTTCTTTGGTGTCCATTGAAACAAGCACCAGGCACCAGAAAGAGAAAGTGCAACAAGAAGTCTTACTGTATTATTAAAAATCAACTTGTCTAAGCTTCTTCCATCGCTCTAATTGGGGATCTGAAACCCCAGACCTGCATGTGTGTGTGTGTGTGTGTCAGGGAGACACAGAGAGAACTGTGAAACCCCAGCCCTGTCAGAAAGGAGGCCCCATAATAGGATAGGGAGTCTCTGTGACTGTGAGTCAGAAACAGAAACCTGAGCATGGTAATGGTGTCGGTCGGGGCGTAGCAGGCTCAGGCTGCAGCCATTGTCCCCCAGCAAATGGCTCTCCTCTCCGTCAGGACTGCGGCACCCGCTCATCAAATATACATCACCTCCACTGGGAGAGGCTCTCCTCTGGGACAGACAGACAGGCTGTTGGCTGTGGACCGCCCAGCTGTAGAGGAGCAGACGGACAGGGAGAGAGGGATAGACTGATGGACAAACAGAGAGCGTGACATAAAAGGCAGAGAAACACACACAGACATAAATAGAGACTTGGATTGGCAGAAAAGAGCAGAGAGGCAGGCAGTAGTAAAACATACACAAGCACATGCACATTTACGTCATGATCATGACCTCTTGCTCTCAGCTGTGAGTTATGACTGTGTAAATAACCCTGCTAACACCCATCGCCTCCCAGCCCCACTGTCAACATCACGTGTGTGTTGGTGAGAGAGAGAGAGAGAGAGAGAGTGAGGGAGACAGAGAGAGAGGGAGAGCTTGGTTCTGTTCGAATCTGCGCTGACCCTGGTCCTGAATCACACTGCTCTGGCATCTGCTTGAAATACCAGTGTTTCTTAATGGGCTCTTACTCTTCTGTCAGCTCACTGTCTCTCTGTCCATTCTCTTCCGCCTTTCCTCCTTTCCTCTTTCCCTCCGTATCTCCCTCCCTCTCTCATGGCTTGCTTATAGCATAAACACTACAATAACAGTTTGTGTTGTTCCATTTTCATTCTGTTTGCTATTTTAATGCACTTAACATTCTGAAATATGACCACTACAGTATTTTTGCACTCACCATTCCATTAATGTGTGTGTGTGTGTGGTTACATTACAGTATGTCAGAAGGGGGGGGGGGGGGGGGGCAGAGAGGGCCTATACAGTCCAATGATGCTCTCAACAATAGAGTAAAGACACTGCCACAAGAACACATTTCTGCCACGTTAAGCAAATGGACAAATTCAAAAAGAGCACACACACACACACACACACACACCTCACTTCCCCTTAATCCCCTCTGTCTCTTTCCTTCAATTTTCCTTCTTGTCCCCCTCTTCTTGAAGCAGGTTGAATTATTGATGGTGTATAAAATCTTACGTTGTAGATTGTAACCATTCACCAAATCGGCAGGTTTGTGTGGAGGGGGCTGCTGAGGGGAAGGGGGTGTCTAACCACACTCTTTAATGTAATTGCCTTTAGGGTTCCTGGTAAATATTTCATCGACTGCCAGCACAAATGGAAGATACAAAGCTGGAAGGAGGCTATTCCTCTCTCCCAGAGCAGAGGGAGATAGAGAAGAGGGAGATGGAGGGATCCCGTGTACTTGACCTGGCTCCGCAGGTGCCGAAGTGGGGCAGTGGGCAGCACTCCCCCTCGGGCAGGGCAGGTCCCCAGGGGCAGGCATGTCAGAGGTGGGGTAGGCGTGTGAGGGGGGGGTGGGGTGGGGGAGGGTTGCGGTGAGACTGACAGAAAGAGGCAGAGAGGGAGGGTGTATGGGGGTCTTAAGCACCCCTGCCCTAACACGGGACAGGGTTGTATACTGGAACAGAGTGGTTTACAGGGAAACGTCATTACAGGACAGGTTTGGGGGCGATAGAGCACTGAAATATGCATGAGGTCGGATCTGTAAGGCGACCTGGACAAGATGTACATACAGTTACAGTATTGGTGGTGTTTTAGTGAAGCAGGATGTTTTAAAGTGCTGGGGAACACAGGAGGTATTCAGGGACAGGTCTACTGTTCTCTCCATTAAACCATCTTCTGTCTAACACAAGAGGAGAAGGGTGTCAGTTGATGCCCTATTGTTACAGTACAGCGCAAAGTTGAATCCACTGAATCATTTAGTAATTTGTTATGTGTGAGGCTTTCACCCCATTGGGACCCAAACACAGCACTGTTGTATTAGCTGCTGTTGTCTACAGTAGCCTAAAGTATCCATACATTACAATAAAACATACATTGCTTTCTGGCCGATCTTCTGGAAAGTTCATTCGGGCCACTTTAAAAGTTAGTCTTTCGCTCCATCAATACGTTTGCCATTCCAGCTCTATCTCTTTCTTTTGAAATGTTTTCTCTCTTTATCCTCTCTCTCTCATCTTCGTCTCCTCCCCATTCTTCCTCTCTGTCCCAGGTCTATCTGCCATGGCCCATGCTCCTTGCCATGGCCCAGCTAGCTGATCGAGAGAGTTAGAAAGAGAGTGAGAGAGGAGTCTGGGATGGATCAATAGATTAACTGAGTGCTCATTAATGATGCATGTCAGCCCTACAGCACTTGGACATAAAGAGAATGTGCTGGAGGATTGACGTGTAAAAGCTTTAAAGAACAGGCCTGTTTACTTGTTCCAGAGTGTGGAGGTAAGGGGCCACTGCTGTGCCGTGGTGAGAACAGACCCTTGTTCCCAGACCTGGACCGCCAAAGCCACGGACCTGGGAGGTATGTACAGGATACACATGTTATACACCATCCAACGAAATACTTACTTGCAGGAGGGTGATGGAAAGAAAAAGAGAGGGCAGAGAGAAATGTCCCACCATCTTATGAATGAAGATAAGGAGTAGTTTCAGGACTGATGATGGAAGTGACAGTGATGATGAGGATGATGATGAGGACGTTGATGATGAGGACGTTGATGATGATTACGATAATGAAGATGTTGATGATGAGGACATTGATGAGGAGGACATTGATGATGAGGACGATGATGAGGAGGACGATGATGATGAGGACGTTGATGATGATGAGGATGTTGATGAAGAGGACGATAATGAGGACGTTGATGATGAGGATGATGATGATGAGGACGATGATGATGAAGACGTTGATGATGAGGACGATGATGATGAGGACGATGATGATGAGGACGTTGATGATGAGGACGATGATGATGAGGACGTGGATGATGAGAACGATAATGAGGATGTTGATGATGAGGACGATAATGAGGACGTTGATGATGAGGACGATAATGAGGACGTTGATGATGAGGACGATAATGAGGACGTTGATGATGAGGACGATAATGAGAATGTTGATGATGAGGACGATAATGAGGACGTTGATGAAGAGGATGATAATGAGGACGTTGATGATGAGGATGAAGATGAAGATGACAGAGACTTGATTGTGACCTGTTTAAATTATCATCTATCTTTCTCCATGTTCCTGTTGCATTCCAACTTCCCCTCTTCATGTCCCCAAACTTCTCAACACTGTGTGGAATTCTGAGGAAGCAGGCATCAAACAATACAATCTTAGATCACAAGAGAATACAAAAAACATTTGCATACAAACACAATCTACATTATTTGTTCTACAACAATTGAGAGCAGTGAAACAAAGGAAAAACAAATAAACTAACAAAATGATGTGAATATGCCGGTGAAGAAAGGAAGGGGAGAGTAATGAAATGTACAT